GCACCCTCGGACATCAGAGAAGAGGTCAGAAGTGACCGTGGAAAATAGTCAGTACAAACAGCAGGCTATGATGAGTGTGTCCCGGATCCTGAACATTTAACAGCGTGAGGGCGCCAGTTTATAACTTCTCAACAAACAGAGGGAACAGACGAAGCAAACACAGCTTAGCCAGTTAACTGAACTCAGAAAAGAGGGGGAAATAACAACTAATAAATGGAAAACAGGAAATAAGATGTGATGAACTGGTGGTCAAAGGGTAATAAATTTTAGAGTTGTGAATGGGTGAAAATGCCCTATTTAAAGAAAGAAGCTTGTGGATTGCGGCTGAAAGCTAAAAGCCAACTCTCTCCTCCATTTGGCTAAAACAAAAAAGACAGAAAGACTGAAAATAAAAGGATGGAAAAATAGCTATTCTGGAAGACAGCTTACCTCAAGAAGGAAGCTGTGATACATCAATTTCAACAAGAGAGAATTCGAAAGAAAGGCATCAGCATGAATGGAAGTTTGACGTTAAGAAAAGATACAGTCAGCAGGAAACGTCACACACATACCATTCTATGCAGCATGGTGTCTGTCTGAAATAACGAATGCAGGAATGGTTAAAAATCTTGGCAGAACCACAAGACTAGCTGGACATGTTAAAGCTTTGTGAAGTGGAGAAAATAGATAGAGCCCGCAAGCCCATGAGGGATTGACTAGCTGAGCGGGCTCCAGTCTACAGAGGTATTTAGAGAACCCACTTTGCTTCCAGAAAGACGGAAATACACATTGTTCTCGGCGGTCTGTAGGACGGAGCAGAAGTGCAGTTTGTCACAGCCCAGAAGGCAACCAAACTGTCAAAATGGAAATGATAGACACCACGGTGTCAGACCAAATCTGATGAAATCGGAAACATCAGGGACCCGTCACAAACAACCTCCTTTTGAAATTTAAAAATCCCACTGCCAATGACTCTTGTGTTAGAAGAAATAAAAGCTCAAATTCTAGGCTTTTAGAAAAGAATGACAATGAGTAGATACAAGTCAAAAGCCATGGGCTTTGAGCAAAGCAGTCGTACAGGAATGTTGTATCC